CTGATTTGTGTTTGGGTACCCATTCTTGGGAACTCTTGATGTTCGGATATCCACTCCTCCGGCCTGTTGAGGCATCCTTTGTGCCGAGAGGTATTGCAAGGAACGAGGAGAGCCTTGTGACTGAGTAGGCTTGACAACATGGGGACCCTTTGTGATGTCCTGTTCAGAGAGGCATAAAGCAAACGGCGGAGCAGGTCTGACGCAGAAAAACAACCAGCTTGGCCAAAAGCCTTCATAACGAGTTCACTCCGGGGGTAAAGCAAGGTCGCCAACGATGAAGGCCCCTTATTGGGAGGTGGCCTAATCTTCATGGGAATCGTATTAAATAGTTCTGGAGACTCAAGGCCCTAGGCATTTGTCAACTTTTCCCTTCAGGTTGACTTGTCCGTTTGGAGTTTCCTTTGGGATTTCTGAAGGGGGTCAAACTGTCAAACCATGGATGGGTGAACCCCTAAAAAGGGGTGGACTTCCTTGGTTTTGCCCTGCAAGCCATCCCAAGAAAGGGCCATCGAAAAAGACCCCGCATGTGTTCCTCCTGAAAGGCAGTGGCAAAAGCTGGAGGGAATACATGGCTTTGCTCAAGAAATACTGAAACCCGCGCTGCTTGTGTCCTTGCAGCCTCAAGTCTGCTTGAGAACTTGCTCTGCACTTCCTAGGCTTTGATGCAAAGCATCTCAATGGGTCAAACCTTTGCACCCGGGGAATACTCATGTGTTTCAGTTGCATCAGCTGATCCAGCTGCTCAACGGATATGGCTTTGCCTTTGCGGACAGCTTTGTCTGAACTTGGAGGTGCCGTCCGCCCTGGGTCGTTTGTTAGCTTTTGTATTTGCCTGTTTTTGTGTTGGCTTCTTTGCTTGTTTGCTTGTTTGATTTGTTGTTATTGTTTGTTGTTGCTTTGTGTTTATTTTTGATTTTATCTATGTGGCTTGTTGGTGTCGTTTGCTGGCGGGGGGATCACTTTGGTCGCAGTTTTTGGATCACTTTGGTCGCAGCTGAAATCCACTCACTTTGGTCGTAGTTTGAGCATTTGCGGATCACTTCTGTCGCAATTTTTGGATCACTTCAGGCGCAGTGGAAGATAGCTTTTTGAGCACTAACAACAGGACACACGCAAAGGGTGTTGCCTCTCAAACACCTAACAGCAAGACATGCCGCGTGGGGTGGGGTCGACAAGGACAAGAACTGCCGGGTGGGGTGGGGTCGACAAGGATGTTGCCTCTCAAACACCTAACAGCAAGACATGCCGGGCGGGGTGGGGTCGACAAGGATGTTGCCTCTCAAACACCTAACAACAAGACATGCCGGGTGGGGTGGGGTCGACAAGGATGTTGCCTCTCAAACACCATAGTCAACGGCGAAGAAACTAGGACCGAAGCGAGTAAGGAAACTAGGACCGAAGCGAGATGAAAACTAGGACCGAAGCGAGCCAGCAACTAGGACCGAAGCGAACCCGCGACCTCGTTTGCTTGCGTTCTTGTTTGCTTGTTTGCTTGCTTGCTTGCTTGCTTGCTTGCTTGCTTGCTTGCTTGCTTGCTTGCTTGCTTTCTGGCTGGCTGGCTTGCTTTGTTTTAATTTGTCTTGCTTTGTGTGGATTGCTTTGTCTGGTTTGCCTGGTTTGTGTTGTTTGTTTGTTGTTGCTTTGTGTGGTTCTTTGCTTTTGTGTGTGTGTGTGTCGTATGTTTGCTTGATCGCTTTCTCGCTTGCTTGATTGTGTTGCTGTGTGTTGTTTTGTTTCGTTTTGTTTTCTTTGGTGTTGCTAGTTGCCGTGTCTCATTTTGCGTTGTTTGTTTGGTTGGTGGGTGGGTGGGTGGGTGGGTGGGTGGGTGTGTGGGTTGATTGGTTGGTTGGTTGGTTGGTGGGTTGAATGGTTGGTTGGTTGGGTGGTCGGTCGGTCGGACGGTGGGGTGGGTGGGTGGGTGGGTGGGTGGGTGGGTGGGTGGTGGGTGGGTGGGTGGGTGGGTGGGTGGGTGGGTGGGTGTGGGTGGGTGGGTGGGTGGGTGGGTGGGTGGGTGGGTGGGTGGGTGGGTGGGTGGGTGGGTGGGTGGGTGGGTGGGTGGGTGGGTGGGTGGGTTGGGTTGGGTTGGTTGGATGGTTGGTTGGTTGGTTTGTTGGTTGGTTTGGTTGGTTGTTTGTTTGCTTGTTTGTTTGTTTGTTTCTTTCTTTCTTTCTTTCTTTCTTTCTTTTTTTTAATTGTTTTGTGTGTTTTTTGGCTTTTGTGTATCGCTTGTTTGCATCGTTTGTTTGCTTGCTTGTTTACTTGCCTGTTTGCTTGCTTGTTTGCTTGCCTGCTTGCCTGCCGGCCTGCCTGCTTGCTTTGTTTTGTTTTGTTTTGTTTTGCTTTGTGTTGCTTTGTTAAGTGTGCATAGTTGCAACATTGTTCAAATAGGGTGTAGCGGTCCAACCATGGTCAATAGCTACTTTGTATGCTTACCAGACATTTCCCATTTGCCACCCGAACTAAGAACCCTCGTTTGACCATGGAACCCTTGTTCTGCTAGTTGGTGTTCACTGGATAGATACTTCATTTTGGATACAAGCTTGAGTTTGGACCCCCCTCAATAAAAATGGTTGGTGGACATAAATCCCCACCTAAATGATGTCCACCAAAGGGTCCGTAAAGTCCTAAAGTGAAGATTCGTAGCCCGTTGATCCCATTGAACAACCCAGTTTCCCAGTCTCCCCCCTTAGGAGCTGGCAGAATTGTGGCCGGCCGCTGCGGAGCTACAGCCGCTCGGCCGACTCGAGGGGGAAGCTTGGTTTCCTTTTGGTTCTCTTGAAACGAGCCCCAGAAAAAGGTACACTTAGAAGAGTCATTGCTTTGGTTTCAAGGCACGGTGCTGTTCTCCTTAGTCGACTCTCCAAGGAAAGCGCTGGTTCGACACGACCCAGGAAAAAACGGTGAGACTGCAGGTTGGAGGCCGTACAAGTTGGAGGTTTCTCTCTGCTGCCTTTCTTGGTTGACCACTTTACACGGCAATCCTGACCTGAAGTGAGCTGAGTGCAAGTACAATCTGCCCTGCAGTTAGGATCCAGATGTCCCACGTTGAAGTTCCCCTGAGAGATGAATTCACTCCGGGGGGTTAAGGCAATAGGATTATTGCAGTGGTTTGCTGCTTGTAGCAAGGCAAGTGCCCCAACTGGCTGTGCGGCTCAAGATATGCTTCATCATTCATTAGCTTGGACGCAGGAGAGAGGGTTTTTGCAAGTTGAAGTACTTTCCTGAATGCACCACAACCACTGCTGTCCCGTAGACGTGTAGCTGTACTGGATTGATGCATGTGGCCATTTGTTTTCCACTCTTGACAACAAGCGGCAAAAATCAGATATCAAGCCAGCGCCAAGAAAACAACCTTGCTTTGACATTATTGGCTTGGTGCAGGATACTACTTATTGCCAAATCAGCGGGGACACAGGCCGACAAAGCTCAAAACCATCTATTGACGAGGTATCTACTCCTGAGTCTATTCTTGAACTCACTCTATCTTGGACTCCATTGATGGTTGCTTTGAACATGGCTGATGTTTTCCGGCATGACTGTGTGTCAAGGACCTTTCATGGTTCAGGTCTCCGACATGCTGCAGATATGAGGCAGGGCACAGGGAACCCACCAAATGTCCTACAAAAGTCAGGGAACTCACTCATCTTTCCATGACCTCTTGGAACAGGTAATTTTGACTGTGCTCACATCAACCTTTGAGCACTGATTGACTCAGGTATCAGGTAGAACTGGACGGCGCCGGCAGTGCGGAAGCGCGTGCCCATTCCGTTCGTGCCTCTTCTCAAAGAGGTAAGTGTGCTCTCGGGTTCAAAGCATCATGGCTTGTTGGATTTGATATTGGTTTGATTCACTTTGCCACGCAAAGTGTCCACAAGAACTAGGGGTCACACAATTGTCCCATTGGCGTGAATGAGCCCTAACTGGGGGTGGCCTCGAGACAGACTGTGTAGTAGTTTCCTTTTCTGGGCTGCCTTCAGGAGGGTTAAGAGGTGTAAAGGGGCGACCATTTGGCAGCTCACACAAATGTATTGTCCAACTTGTTGACAGGACTTAAGTCCACATAAGGTTTAGATTCTTTCCGGCAGTCTATGATTAATTTGGGAGGGACGTGGGAGTCTGTGGGAGGACTCTGAAAATTCCCGGCACAAACCAGGAGACTCACTACTTGTCAAATGTCCTCTGGGGGAAACATGTAAGTTTGACCGCGGCTCACATGGTGCCAATTAGCTTGGCTAGCACCAAGCCTTGGCCCAGTTGTTCTAGTCCATCGCTGTTTCACTTCGCAGTTCAGAAGTCTTTCTTTTTCGGCCGTGACAGCGTCCGGTGTAGTTCGTTCTGCCTGTGGGAAACTGGACCCGTCAGTTTGAGGCAGGCCAAAGTCAGTTCTCCTTTGGATCGTGTTCGCTTGATTTGTTTCAAAAGGCTAAGAAGCGCCATGCGGGATCACAGTAACTCTGCCGAAACCAAAGCGGGAGATACTTCTCTGAGTGATAAAGAAACCCTCAAGCACTGCTCGACACGCCAAGCCTCTACCCCTGGGCCAGTTCTAGAAACCCTAAAAACGTTACCCCCCTTCAGCGTGATTCTTGCACCAATTCGCAAACAAACTTCCCTTTCAAACGTTGCGATCTGATTTCCTCTTCAACAGCTCCAAAGAGGGGACCCTCTTTGATTTCCTGGTTGTTGAATGGGGGGTCTGGAAGAGAGCACCCATCCCCTGTTTGGCTTCCAGGGAAGTCAACAAAACCAAGGGCTATTTCGCACACTGTCTTTCGGGACAAGGGCAAACCTGCAGAGGCGCCGAGCGCTCGGCTGACGCTTGGGTGCGTGGATTTTGTCTATCCACGGTAGAAATGTGTGCCCTGGCAAGGGGAGACCAACGGAAAACAAACTTAGGTTTCTACACGTGTCCGTCAGCTGAGATTGTGTAATGCGCATGTCAAGGCCTGGCGGAGACCTCTAGACAGCTGGCACGGCAAGCGCTGGCCCAGATTGCCGGCATGCTGCACCACTGCGGCGCCCCGGAGGGACAGGGGGCCAAAGGCAGATGGAATCCTATTTTGTGACAGCTTTGGGGCCTCTGCCCAAATTTCCAGAGTGGTTGGGAGCCGGCAAGTGGGTCTGGAAGGGTTCTGGAAGGGTTGGTGTTGAGGATACCATCTGGGCTTAATTATGTTTGGTGGGTCCCCGACTAGAATGCGAAACATGACGGCAGTCTTTTCTATCATGGTTTCCACAATCCCCAAACCACCACCCTTGTTGGAAAAATATCCGGGGGCAACGTTCTGCCTTCACTTTTTCACGGCAGGTACTCAACCTGGTTTGGGCTTTTGACCTCAATAATCATACAGTTTAGTGGGTCATGGCAACCTACAAGGTGATCATGGTTCGCTTTAAGGTCCTTTGGGCAAGCGTTTCTGTGGAGTCTTGCTGCGCAGCAACTGTTACTTACTTTTGTCAGCGGCTGGGACATGGTAGGACTACTTCTTAGCCTCTTGTATGGCTCCCGAGACTTTCGGGTATCTATCACCAGACACAAAGCAAACTGGCTGCTTTTCCTTAGAAAATGTCTACCAAAGAAAAGAAGACTTACAAGCCAGCTCATGCGGGTGTTTTTGCGCAAATAGGTGCTCCCAAGGCGGCTGGTGTAAGGTTTGCCTGGGATTTCCCAATTTGTTTCAACTCGGAAGAGAGGCTCCACCACCGGATTTCCCAATTTGCATTGGCTCCACTTGGTTTGCCTTGGATTTCCCACGTATTTCCACCACCGGGCCGTTGTTCCGAAGCCTCCACCGAAGCCGGGTTCGAGGCGGCCGGGACCCGCCGCTGGCTGGGCCGGTGCCGGAGAGCGGCAACACGGCGGCCTGGGTGGAGATGCACCTGAAGGCGAGCCAAACGAAGAAGGAAGGAGGTCCATACCTGGCATTTGTATGACCCCCCCAAAATGCGCTCATTACCTTAAATGAAGGGGCTATGGACCCAGGTTTTTGAGGTCATGGAGACTCCAGGTAGACCAAACAAAGGATGAAGACTTAAGATGATAGATTCGGAGAAGGTTTGTGGCATATTCATGCACCCTTGAAATGCAAGAAAGATATATGCTGCTCTCCCCCGATCGTGAAAGCGGTCCCAATATGTAGACAAAAGACACACATGCATAGAAAAGGCCATAAGCAAGTGACAATTCCCTTTGTTGGTTTCCTGGAAACCAACATGAGGTTCCCCAGTTTGAGACAGACCCACGTGCAAGCTTTTTGGTCATCAAGGGAATCCATGGAAAGCAAGCCTATATTACATCACAGGGTAGCTGAGGTTCGTAGGGGTGCCAATATTGAGCGAGTTTTCTCATGGATGTGATGCTTAAGAGTCAGATATCTTTTTGCACTTAAGGCAAACCACGGAAGACGAAGTCCATTCCGCCCATCACTATCTTAGTCGCAGAAATGCTGTGTCAGACAGACTAAATGTCCACAAAAATAGGCAACGCGCAGATTGTCCAATTCGAATTCTTTAATGTCAAGTACCAGCATGTTTTCACCGTCAGACCTCAAATGTGTTTTGACGTATCAATTCCAAGTTCTAAGCTGCGCCGGCGATGCCCCGGCACATCGGAGCCCTGGAAGACTCCATGTCGCCAAAGAATCAGCCCACGGTTTTTGCAGAAACCAACGGGTTGCGGTGGTTTAAACATTGGGCAGATCGCTTGTGACCCTGAACCCAAAAAAGGTGTCTTTCTTGTGGTCCATCTCTTGGTCAGGTTGGTGAATCATGACATGATTCACTCGGTTTCGGAGAAGTGCGCACTTGGCACAGTCATGAGGCAGCAGGGAGAGAGAAAGAGAGAGAGAGAGAGATAGAGCCAGAGAAAGAGAGGGAGAGGTGAAGACACACGTGAATGAGAAAAGTGAGTGATGGTGAATTGTAATAGTTGATAATAATCAAGGGTAAAAAGGAGTGAGAATATGACGGGGATTACATCATACATATTTGAATGACCGAATGAATTAGAACAACATGACGACAGTTATGACTGAACAAACATGCTGATAGTCATGAACTGACACAGGCAAATCTATGATTCAATCTGACCCTTTGCGGTAGGGACCTGAACCAAAAGCTCAGCCATGCATTCAGCAGGTTGGCCGAGACTTATGCGAATTGAAAGGGGCGGCCCGAGAGCAGATGTGTCTCAGGCGTGCTGAGCTCCATGCTTCAAAGAGATGTGTGGTCAGCAAACCTTCCGTTGGTTGCTCAGATGGGGCTAGAGGCCGTCTCATTAGCTGACATTTTGCAGAGGAGAGATGACCATCTGGGGTGAAACAAGCAATTTAAATCCCGTTTATGTTCAGTGCGGATTTGGAAGGCCAAACCTCGTCCGGGTTTAAGGGCTAGGCAAAAGTCGTTTAAACAACTAGACCTTAGCCCCCTTTTTTCATCCTTTGTTTAAACAGCTGCTTAAACCATGGCTTCAGCAGGGGGTGGAATCGTCCAACCTAGCTTTAGGTTTTTTCCGAGAATCTTTCTGCATGGGCCTTTCAGGGAACACCCGCGCGGGGGGGGAGGGGGTGGAACCCGTACACCCTCAGTGCCAGGTCTCCCGCAATCTGCGCGCCCTCTTCGCTGGGCACACCAGCTCGTTGCTGGAGTCCTGTGCCATTGGCGCGGATCGAGAGGCCGCGTGGATCGATGCCTTGAGTGGAGGGTGAGCTCCAGCGCATTGGAGTCTTCTCCGTTTGTTTTTCAGATGTTCAAGTTGACGAAATATGAAACCGACTATGAAAAGTCTGATGGTTGGCCGTACTCTGGGGTTGGCTGAAAGTAGTCGGAACCCCGTGCGGTTTAGTCAACCCCAGTTTTTCAGGTGGGGAGTGATGTCGCATGTAAGTGGAGAACCTTTAGTTTTTTGGGGAACACCGTTCCAAATCAACAACACCGGTTGATGAATCCGGGGACACGAAGTTGGACCCTGAGTCATGGGCCACCGAAGGCACGGGCCGCGCTGCTGGAGCTGAACCTCGAGGCGGTTCAATGGATGGAAGTTGGTCGGTTTGACCGGTTTCCTTACCTGGGGTTGGAAGGGATGACTCATCGGTCGTTTAACTGCAGGGAGTTTGGACCAATGTAAAGATTCCTATTAAACCCTAAACGCATGACCCAGAAACAGAGTTTTGGAGGTATGTATGTACACATAGTTTGACAGAGGTTACCTCGAAACATGCCGTGTGGTGAGTGGTGAGTTCTTCAAGGCGGGTGTTGTTTTCTTCTTTTGACCTGTGATGGGAGTAGTCCGCTGGCGTCTTTGCTTGCCACCACTTGTCCCTTTGCTGGCTCGTCGGCCAGACGGCCATTGGAGCAGGAATACCGTTGTGCTTCCATTCTGCATGTTCTTGTTGTGTTGCGTTCTTTTTGTTATGTTGGAGAACTAGGGTGAGCCAGCATGAACATCCCAAAGCTCAACAGGTTCAGTTCCTATAGAGGATGGACTGGAAGCACAGGGTTGAATTAATTAGTGGGCTCGGGACTCAGGGTTCCAACCGATGGCGAGCCTGAGACGTGGACCGGGGGCGCAAAGATGATGTCCTGGCTCTCGGAGCTAATCGGTTGAACTGTTGGAACGGGGAGGGGAGAGTTTTTGGTTTTCGCACGCATCCCATCAGTGTACACTGTATCACAATGTATCACAATGTATCCCCTAATCCCATAGGCTCCCAGATACCGTCAAAGGCAAGATTCTGTCGTTTGGCTGTGTACAATAAAGAGGGCTTGCACCCTTAAACTAAACAGTTTACAATGCTCAGCGTTCTTGTGGTGTCCCTTTCATCACTTAGAGAGGGTCCCCACCCAGTGGCAGGAAGAGACACCGGTGCTCTTTTTTGGCGTCCCTTGAACCACCCACAGATCTCCTGCCTAGCACTAACTCGCCCCATGACACTATGCCGAATTCGAGGCCCTGGAGCATCTTTCGACGCCTCCCTTCGGCGACGGCGCGAACCGCGCGGATGTGGCGCAGGAGCGATCCAGCGATGCTACAGAGACGGGCAGAAATCTCCTTACTTCTGACATTCTTGCAATGTTGTGGTTAACACTCGTGTTGTGAATAACAAACTTGAGCCAGTGACCCCTCTGTCTTAATTGGTTGGTTTTGGAAAACCCTTTGAAAAACCCCGCCAAACATAGGACATCACGACGTGCACATGCTGACTGATCCTAGAAGAATGCGGTTGAAGTATGCGAATGCATACCGCTTGCCATTTTGGCGAAAAGGATCCTATTTTTTCTTGCGCTGATCCTTGTGCAAACCATTGCGCCATGGCCTTCACCGACCTTTGGGACCAGCAGGTACGCAACGCTTTCCAGCGCCACAATCAATACCCGGGTAGATGAAGGTTAGTAAGGGACAATCCCAGCCATAAATAGTTGTGGCCGCCACCCCTTTGTCGATTCGGCGCCTACCTTGTTAACAGATCTGTTGGCATCGTTTCCAGTTATTTCAGGTGACATGGGTCAGAACGGCTCAACGCAGCTGATGACCCATGCCACGGACAGCAGGCGCAATCCCAAGCACAGGGGATCAAGACAGTGGAAAGATTGTGCGTTGCGGCTGTTGTTGTGGTTAACACTCGTGTTATGAATGACGTTGAGCCAGTGACCCCTCTGTCTTAATTGGTTGGTTTTGGAAAACCCTTTGGATAACCCCGCCAAACATAGGACATCATGACGTGCACATGCGGTCGAATACATACCGCTTGCCATTTTGGCCTCCCACTCTCCCACACCTGCGTCTCTGCGCGAGACTTCTTTCCGCATGTGGCGAAGCAGCGCCCCCCACTTTCCTTGTCCCACTGGTCGATCCCCTCCCTGCACGTGACCCAAGGTTGAATAAACGTGCATGAAGCACAACGGTGTGACCTTCGCCCTTGTGTGCCAGTCTGCGACCTTGATTCCGCTTTGCTCATCAATACGTCACAGACGCCTGCCATAGCTTCCGACCTGGACCACATGTACCAGCGTACCACCGCTGTGATGTGGGACGAGCACTGACCCCCGATCCTTTTTGACACGGCCAGAAATCTGGCAAGCATTTTCTTGCGGACGGTGTGCATCGACAGGGGTGTGTGGGGGGGCCAGTATGTCCACACCCCTTTGTCGATGCCTACCTTGTTAACAAATCTTTTGGCGTCGTGTCCAGTGATTTCAGGTGACATGGGTCAGAACGGCTCAACACAGCTGATGACCCATGCCACGGACAACAGGCACAATCCCAACCACTCGGGATCGAGACAGTGGAAGGATCGTGCGGTGCGCGCTGCTGGTAGCAGCATGGGAAGGTCAATGCGGCTGTTGCAGAAGGCAACCTGAACAAAACTTTTCAAAGCATTTTTCAGGGCTTTATCAAGAGCAACACAAATTCCCATGTGGATGATATCATATCCGCCAGGCGGTCGCAATGGAAATTCTCGATTTGCAGATCGCGGGGTCGGAGCCAAATGCTACGCGGAGACCCGGGCCTTTTACCATCCCTGGCGTTTTTGTTGGTGTCTTCCGTGATGGGTCCAGCCGCAACGTTTTCAATTCGCATGTTCAGACAATGGCCCAATCCAAGTAAATGGGCGGTTACCATGGGCCAATGGATAATGAACGGGGAATCAAGCCTGTTGAATCCCGTTTGTGTTCCTCAAGCCAAAGACGCCCAAAGACTGACCCTCGAAAACACACCCAAACAGGCGGATTGATCAACTTCGCTCCTGTTTGGGGATGCATGGAATATTGCTCGGACAAGCCACCTACCAACTGATTTGTTGGCTGTTTGTTTGTTTGGTTGGTTGGTTGGTTGGTTGGTTGGTTTCGTTGGATTTGTCGGCTCTGTTTGTCACAGACCTTCGGCCACCGACCAGAGGAGCTGCGGGCGGCTCATGCGGCGGCGGCGGGCGCCCGCGCGCTGGCGGTGCCGCTGCACTGTCAGGCGCCGGTCGTTGCTTCCGAAAAGCGGCTAAAAAGTGGTTTGTCTCAAAATGTCATTTCTTAAGTGTGCCACTCTTCAGGAAAGAAGCCATTTTTAAGGAGAATAGAGTATGTTTCTGAGGCATGTTTGAGGAGTTGCTTTAAAGGAAAACGATGGGGAAACCGATGACCTGTGTGGATCCGTGCGACACACCCTGGGGCCTCCCTAAGATTTGGGGCCGGTGGTGTCGAAAATGGGGGAAGGGTTTTTCGTTGGTGCCCTTTGGTGCCCTGTTGTTGTTTTGCGATGCCTATGCAGAAAGCCCGCCCAAAAAGGAGCTCCCACATGAAAACCACGTTTCGAACCTGTTCTTCACAGTCAGAAGCCTATCAATTTCCACCACACTCTATTTGAACCATCGGTTTGTTTCGAATCCCCAGAATTGGTTTGAGCTCACCCCTGCTGAAGCTTCCCAGGAGTCTGGGAACTTGAAGAGGACGCAGCTGGAGAGACTCTGGGAGGCGCGGCATGTGGACGATGCCAGAGGTAGGTTTCCATTTGTCCATACTTAATAGCTGCGGGTCAAAACCAATGGTACCATATTTGGGTAGGTGCACCACCCATTTTAGTCCATTTTAATGGGGATTGGGATGTTCACTAGAGGTACGAGACTTTGACCCATGCATGGCCAAAAGACTGGTTCCTTTGCACGGGGTCTAGTTGCATCAACCCAGACAACTAACACAACGGTTCCCTTTGATGGAACCATGACCGTGACCCACATAGGACCTTTGACCATGGATTTTCTTGAAGCAGAATTTGTGGGCTTCCCCCATTCAAAGACATCTGTTTAGGGAAATGAAAGTCACTGAGACCTTTGGGGTTGCGTCGTGGGGGGCTTGTAAGAGGCTTCGGGAGGTGAAGGGAGGGATATTCACTTGGCTAACTTCCAGCCACGCACCTCAAGGCTTTACGTTGGTGAATCTTGCATGAAGCCTGTGGATATCCGGGCAGGTTGGGAAGAAAAGCAACCAGAGTCTCTGACTTTGTCTTAACCAATCTCCCCAAGCCGAAACTTGAAAAGCAAAACATTCACAGGGTTTTCGGCAGGGCCCTTTTGTGTATGGTTGATGTTGGGCAGATTTGTTTGCATGCCGGGGGCCAGCACCTGTAACAGGAGTGCTATATAAAGTCTTGTTTGTTCTTCTCACCAGAGATTTCAAATGGCTTCGTTTTCTTTGTTGCTGGAGGGTTCCCACAGGTCTGGAATGGATGTTGCAATGACTAACCTGATAGCCTTTTCGCACCAGTAGCGATGGATCGAGCACCTATCAAAACTCGGACAAGCCGCACGCCCAGCCAAGCGCGAGGAGTATAACTTTGGGCCTCTGGTGGAGGAGGCCTATCCCTGCGACCCCTGCGGGCTGCAGGCATTGGGCGAGCGGAGAGATGGGATGGCTTTCCACATGGGCGATGTGCCTTTTTATGAGGCTCGGCAGCCTTTGCAAGGGACACTAAAAGGAAATCCACCATTTTGGCGGTCCCCGAAATGGGGACACATTTTCCGCATGGCTATGGATTTTGAGGGGGGTGTTCCCTCAAAAAGGGTTGGTGGACGGAACGCCTCATGCAGTCCATTAAAGGGTTTAGAGGTCCACCTGGATTGGTGTGTGTGTGCGTGTGCGTGTGTGCGTGTGTGTTTTATTGAGAGTATCCCTTTGAAGGTTGTTTCAAAAGGAAAACCAACAGGAACCGCCCATGATTGAGTTGTTGTTTTTCTATTTGACACACATACCCGTGTGTAAATCCCAAGGCGCTCAGAAAGGTTGCGCCTTTCATCGCCAGTGCCATTCGCTTCGCTTGCGAAGCGCATCCACTTAGAGATCAAAGGCTAACAGGCACCAAGGCTTTGGAATCCTTGGTGTGTGTTGAGCATTGTGACTCCACAGCTCATGCACGAGGCCACATTTGCCTCGGCTTAGACTTGGCAAGCTTGTTAGTGAAAGAGTTGGGCATTTGTAACATGTGCCCGTGTGCAGCCACTTGTTGTTTTGCAAGCTTTTACCAGTGGGTAGCTCCGCGTGCAACCCATTCGGAAGAAATATTCAGAACCCACCAACGGTCACCCAACTTTGCTGTCATCCACCAAAAGAGTTTCAGCTGGTTTGACACAGAACACGGGATATATGCATAGTAACACAGATCAACAGTAACAACACACACACAATAACCAACATATATGTAAAATATGATAAGTCAGGCAACCAGCGTTATTTTTACCTTCCTCAAACATGAGATATGTGGGTTTCCTCCAACCGCAGGAACATCCGCAAGCCAATGGGTAGCGTGCGCTGTCAGGGCTTGAGCCTCTTCCTGGAGTTCCACATCGGGCGCGGGGGGGAGCTGCTGGATCGCCGGGCGGAGCCGGACAAGACGGTGCTGAAAGCGTTGCGGGGGCTGCTGAACCTCCAGCAGGCCGGGGGAAGGTGGCGCACATAGATCCAGGGGTTCTACAATGGAAACCCCGTGAAAAGATGATCAAGGCCCAGTAGAAGAATGATTTGCTGGCCCTTGGCCTCCTAGATGTCCATTTGCCGGTGTTTGGAGCACCCTAGATGTCCATTTGCTGGTGTTTGGAGCACCCTGAGGAAGGGCCACTGGAACGGACGGAGGGGAAGAGGGTTATACAATTGTATAATGCGTCCACTGCATGTGTCACCTGCCTTGGAAAACACATGAGATTTGACGAAGAATACCATCCCAAATGGTTGGTGAACATCTCCACCTAAATGATCTCCACCAGAGAGTCCATGCCCGCCTTTGGACAGGGATCTTTTCTGGAAATGTGTTTGGGCCGACAGCGGTATTTGGTCGGATACAGACACGATGCTGGCAAGCAACCCCCTGCAATGTCCAAACTAGGCCATGTTTTCACGTCCAAGACAGAAAGGCGTTCCAAACCTGTTTTATTGCAACCCCATGTGGATTCCAAAACCTACCCTTGGTGTTTTGGATTCAAAACACCAAGGTTTTGGTTCAAACCCCTCCCCTGAACCCCGCCGAAAGTTGTCCTTCGGCAGGTCCTGGCGCGGCCCGCCTTCATGGCCAGCAGCTCTTCGGGCGCCATGGAGGGCTGGCGCCAGGCGGTGACGGATCTAGAGGAGGCCGTGTGGAAAGGCGGGGGACGGATGCGGCGGTTCGTGCCGACCAAAGGTCCACGGGGGGCCAAAGGTCGGACCAGGGGGCGGGTGGGGGACGGGGGGGGGAGGGGGGTGAGTTTTGGAGAAAAGATGGGATAGAATCTGAACATGAGGTCTAGCCAAAAAAGGTTAGAGATGACTGAATATGAAAACAAATCTGAATGATTGTTGATTGTGCCCCAGAGTTGAGCCAAAGTTTGACGGAGCCAAGGGAAATACGGGGTGTCCTTCAAAATAATTTTGTTATTAAACGAAATATAGGCCAGAGTTCTGAACACCAAAGTTGGGCTAAGGGAAGAGAGATGCCGATTTGGGGAGAGAAAGCACAAAAGTGTAGCTTTCCTGGTCAGGCATTGCTTTTCCAGAGCTGCACACCGCAGCGGGGCAGCTTATGGCGGAGCTCGCAGTCAAGGGCTTTCTGCCCGAGGCGCGGGGCGCGGGGCTCGTCCGTGTCCGTGGCGAGTTGGCGCAAGGCTTCCAGGAAAGCCCAGGGATCCGAGGCAGGCTGACCTCGGGGCTTTGAGTTTTGTAGCGGGAGCGGGATTTGAGAACATCTCAGAACTCCAGGGTATGGTGGGTATGGTATTTAACAAAAAAAAAGTGAAAAGAAGGGATCGATCTTCGGAATGATTCACTGGCAGCATTTGATTGAGATTCCGATTGGAGGTGCTGGCGGGACTGGATCCGGCCTTTTTTTGCGTGGGTGCCTGGCGAGCGACCGGGGGCCATGCCGCGGAACCCGGGTGTTTGCTTCTTTGAAATCGCTTTGCAGTTGTCGATGTCCACCAGTAGTGCCCTTCTCTCCCTTTTTTTGGGGGAGGGTTCCCCTACTAAAATAGATTACAGAAAAAGGGTACCCGTATCCTAACCTCTCTACTGGAGGACCTGGTTGTTGTTTCGGATTTCCTCATTTTGGACTCTCCACCAAGCAAGTGAGGGAGCTTGGGAAGTTCAAAATCAAGGAACGCTTCCATCCGGCTCCTTTTGGAATTCACATTCTCGAAGGGCCTAGTGGCCTAGTGCTTTTTGTTGTGGATTCACGGGATTCTGATTCACGCCTCCGGGCTTCCTTGAGGGCTGGGTGTTTTGTTAAAGGCCCTCAAGAAACCCTTTTTCAGCCCCAAGCTTTCCAACAGAACCATTTCTTCAGGTTCAGAGTCGAGAGTTCTTACAGCATCCCCAGGTGGCTGTGGAAACTGAGACCTCTCAGGAGAGCCGCAATTGCCATCAGCAAGGCTTTGATTGGCACAGACTTTGAGCCTTTTTGCGCTTGGAGTTGTGACATAAAAGTTCTTCTTGTAGCAAGGGATCGGCAAACCACCAAGCTTAGACTGGCCCGAGTCCCGGTGCCTCGGTGCCTTTGTCATGTCGCGCGACCAGCCACGTGCGACCAGGTCTTCGCGGCAGCTATGGAGCATCCACCGGTGGTGGGAGCCGCCGGCACCACGTGGCCAGGGCAAAGTTAGAAGCGGCCGGTTGACTGTTTTTGTTTTTTTCCAGGGTTTTTTGGGACACCCTCGTGGTTTGCTTTGGCCTTTCCATTTGGCGCTCGCTTTGTTGTTCCTTTTGCTGCCTGCAAGAGGTGTCCAACCAGGACATACACGGCCCCATGTGTTTTACCACTTCTCAAAGTCAGTCGCTAAGTGGTGGGTTGAAGAGCCAAAGAGCCCTGATGTTCGACTTTACCTAGAGAACCCCAGGTTCGAGGATACCCAGAGAGCCCCTGTTTATGTCCCCAACCAGGTATCAAGCTTATCGGCTCAGCACCCACTTCTGCACGCGTGGCTCAGCATAAGGCTGCCGCAAGGGCGGGAGCCCTCGGACGTGACGGCGCCACGCGCGCCACGGTTCCAAGGCGCCACCCGTCGCCCGTCGCTGTGGCATCGCCGGGAAATTTGTCCAGGGCTCGGGCCCTTGGGAAACTCCTCAGACGACCGCGGATTTTGTTTGGGTGAAATTCCATGAAGTATTTGTCCAGTTGTTTGTGTTGGAAGGATCCTTCAAACAGCCAGCATCAATCAGTTTCTTGGGTCGATTCATGATTCATCATGTTGGAGGAACCATCTTCATCAAACCTGCAAAACCATTGATTGGGTTTATTCATCAGGGCACAGTTCAGTTGAATGTGCATGAGGTCCATATGGTTTCGAGATAGCAACTTCTGCCCAGTGGATCCCTGCAAGCCACACGCAGCCAAAGCTTCTCACTCGCAAAGTTGTACCAACACATTTACGCCTTGGTTTTGGCTATGAACCTCAAGCATTATTTCCTACCTGGCGTTACCCGACTTGCTTGCCCTGTTTAGTTGTTCTTTGGTGTTCCTTCGTAGTGTTCCTTTCAATGGTGCAAAAGGGTTCGCATTCAGAGAGGCAGATGCGTTTGGCCCAATACCAGACAACGTAATTAGCCAACCACTTCCCCCGTGCTGCCCTTGCTGCTGTCAGTTAGACGAGTTAGATGTTTAAAAGGACACAAACACAGAAACCAGCCACTCTCCCGTCAGATGTCTACAAGGAAACAAACAAGTTATTTGGCTCGCTTTGTTGTTTGGTTGGCCCAAAAGAAACCAAAGGAGAACCAAACGGGAAGCAAAAGGAGACCATTGACGGGTTGCTTGCCCCGGTGTCTGATCTTTTTCGCAGGCATGAGCATCCCGGGATACAACATGAAGCCTCTGCAGCGCTTCGAGGAACGCGCCTTGCGGCTTTGGGGGGACGAGGACGGGGCGTTGGGCAAATTTTGGAGCAACGAACGGCTCACGTGGGCTGTCGTTTCAAGGCTACTTCCTACACTACGAATGTAATAACCAATGAGTGGCCTGGGGGTGATTTTCGTTTCAAGGGAAACCAGCAGGAGGTTGTTTAACTTTTGTTTGGCTTGTGTTCATTGTGTTCCCATTTTTGCAACTCCAAGTTGAATCCAACCAGGAGGTTGTTTAGAGAATATCGGTTTTGATCATGTTTCCCTGTAACATCCCTCAGGACTCCCAATGTGTCATTTTGACCCCCTGGGCCCCTTTTAAAAGGTAAGCAACAGGAGGCTGCTTGAAATTGGTTTTGGGTTTAGCCATGTTGTTGAGCAGATGCCCGGCCCTGCACGAGGAGGTGGAAGAGAATTGGGATCCAATCCGCCTGGGGCTGTCTTACATCGACCTCACACCCGCCTGCGACCTGCCGCTGCAGGCCTCGAGTCTCGGGAAAAACAGGCTTGGACCTTGTGTCAAAATGATGGGTTTCCCTGCGGCGCCCCTTTGGAACAACCCCGCCCCAACAAAAAGACACATCCCATCAGCTCAGGGTTGTGCAAATCACCCTGTGACCAATTACAATGGAAGTGGTGGGTTTCCATTGAACGTGGAATCAGCCCTAAAAGGAGCTCTCTTTTGTGACCAGGGTCGCTTACCAAGTGGGCAGTTCTTGCTTGCGTGTTGGTTTGCGGTGTGTTGGCGTGCCTGGTGAGAAGGGCCACTTCAGACTGTTACGCAGAGGCAGGTTTCGGCATAGAGAAGTTACAGCCACCCAGGCTCGCATCCCACAAGCAAAACCTCCGTGGCCAGGGCCCCAAGTCATTGAAAGGTTAGCCACCTGTCGTGTGGCACTTCCGCTTGTTTTGGTAGTCATGGCCATTTACTTTACCCACCATAGCCAGGGGCAGCGGCTCTTCCTCAATAGGCAAGGGTGGGTTGTACTGTTCTGGGACGACTTACAGCGCGTTTTGTTCTGATGTGTTGCATTTGCTCTCCTACCGCGATTTGTTGGTTTCGGTTGGTGCTTTGGAGGTTCTGGGGTACGTTTATTGTTTGTAGGTTCTGGGTATTATTCTCCAGTACGGACCGTAGTCGGGGGCCTAACTGAGTTTCCCACACACATCAGGGGACTCGCTCAGTATCCAACAAAGATTGTGACACAAGACCCTCAAATATTCCAATGTCCTTTGCAGTGCTTTCCTGCAGACTAACACAGGAACCCCCAGAAGCACCCATTTGTCGAGGAATGCCCCGATTGATTGACCCTCATTTGGGGTTCTCTGTTCATCGGGAGAACGACCGCGAATTTGGGACAGGTGGCCATGTGCTTCCTGAGTGCGGCCCTGTGGCTCTGGCGGGGGCTCGAGCTTCTGGGGGACGACTGTGGGGGCGATGCCTGGCTGGACCTCTACATCTTCGAGGAGGGCTCCATTTTGCCGTGTCTCCCCTTAAGGGACCCGTTTTTGAGGTTGTCTTTGAAGGGACTTTTTCAAGGAAACCCACCGTTCTCCCCTGTTTTGCTACGTGCCCATGTGAGCACCCAAACCCGATTCCTCATGGCCATGTCGGTAGGTGGAAACGATGCGGCTTCAAAGCGGTTCTAGTAAGGCCGACGTTCAAATCTGAACGATGTTTGCAGAATCAAAAGTCACTGGAGTTTGGGTGCTGCTTATTTGGGTATGGATTTCATGGCGGGAATACCTGACAAACGGGCGTTGGACGCCACCCCCCATGATGAAGAGTCCCCAATGACAGTTTTTCAGGTTTCCACGGAAACAGCCATTGGAGAAGGGCGGCTTTCCTGTTCGATGGCCCATTCAACCAGCACCAGAAAAAGGGGCCAACCAAACATTTGCACGCTTTTTCGGTTCCCCACAACAGGCCAAATCCTGAGTTCCTTGTCTGGAATGCATAGCCAGGGATTTATGTCTTATGCGTAGCCGAAAGCTCTTGCCACATGTTTGGGTGCCAACCATGTACTGGTTGCACTGTCACGTGCAAAGGTTTGGTTCCTTGACAAGGAGCTTGATCTCAGTGGTTTCCAGCTTCCATAAGGACAGAAAAATGGTTCCAAAGGCAGTTTTCTTTGCGTCACGCGCGCTGCAAGCGAATACACACAGACACACATGTCACTCACTGGGCTTTGTTGGGTGCACAGTTTAAGCAAGATCTACCCAGCTTCTCAAAGAAACATAGTCACCTCACCCTTTTCAGCTGGTCAGCCAGCTGAGTCTGGCTGTTGCGGCCTCCAAGCATGGACCCCTGTTTTGGCTCCCTGGGGGTCACCCGTTTCTCAAGGGAAATGACAGCCGCAGCCAAGAACCAGATGTGCAACGGGCTTGGGGAGCAAGAAGTCTCAACCTGGGAACACCTCTATGCAGTTTTGTTGCCTAAATCATCCTTTGGAATCAAAGCAAAGCCCAAAAGACCATTGTTTGGCCTGGTGCGAAATTTGGGTGTGGGTCAAAGTTAAACGACTAGGGGACCGCAAGTTTTAGTCCATGTTTCCACTTACCAGGGTTCCATTTTGGGTACCTATTTTTGACCCGCGGCCATTTCTTGCAACTTGGAGCCCGCTTTTCGTTCCAAAGGGACGAGGCGTGTCAGTCTCTGAGCAGGACATTTGGGCCGCGCCGCCCAGCGCAAAGAAGCTGGCCATGCAGTGACTGGGCAGCGATTTGTTTTGGGAAATGACGCATTTAGAGTGATTTCTTTAACATTGCAAAGTTATGACTAGTTATAACTTATAATAGACAAGCACAACACATCCAAATCAGCCATCGTCAAAGTCAGTTTTTGGGATTGAATAAGACTCAATGTTGGAATTCGAGAGGAAACATGCATTTTTTTCTGGGGGTCGGGGGGTGGGGGCAGGACCTTCGACTGACTTGTCCACGCCCAAGCTTTCACACTGTTGTTGTTGTCTGTGTGTTGTGGCCGCAAGCTTTCAAAAAACCCTGGTCAAAATTACTGGTAGTCCAGTCCATGGTCCATTTGGAAGGGACATGGGTCATCAAATGGGTCATCAAATTTTGCCGCAAAACCAGGGGACTCGGTAAGTTTTCCTGGTCCTCTTAGGGACCAGGATGACAAGTAATCTTGACCGTGGCTTGCATGGGAACAGCCAGGGTCGGTGGACATCTGCAAAGGGGGGCCTGACCATGGAGGTGGCTCTCAGAAATGAAAGGGGCCCAGTTCCCGCATTGTTTATTCTTGTTTTGGTGGCCACACAGCGTCCCAAACTCGGCCGATTCAAACAGGCTGATTTTGTCACTTTGTGAATCCGTGTCGCTTTATGTATTCGTGTCAGCTTCCGTTGGTTTAAGGCTAGGTGTTTATGTTTCCGCATGGGTTTGAAACATAACCTGACCACTTGTCACTTGTTGCCCATGCTTTTTGGAAAAAACCAATAAACAAACAACAAAACATGCCATGACTCTGATAATGAAATTCGTCAGCAGCGCCATTGTTCCACTGCAGGCAAGTTGTTCGCAGGCGCTTTGGTGCGCAGGTACAGCCTGAAGCGCGCCATCCTGGAGTTGGTGGACTACGCGGCCAACATGGCGGAGCACCAGCTACTGCCAGGCTCATGGAGCCCCCAAACCACCCCCCCCGGCTGCGGCAGAAAATTGGGGCATGCCGGCATGCCCCACCGTGTGGATTTGTGAGTTTTTGTTCCCTGGAAACCAAATAGTTTAGACGGGGGCAATGGTTTTGCAGTTGGTACGCTTTTGGGGTTGGATTGAATGAAGGCGGAAGCGAATACCGCCATTCTCGCAAATTCTCGCCCTCCGTTAGTTTGACACATATCCGCCATATCATTCTTGGTAGACTCCTTTGGGAATTGTCACATATGTGGGTCTGTTTGCACAGACACACCCGAAAAGAAAGGCTGCTTTTCCTTGTGAGCCTTTTGAAATTGTGCGCAGCCCAACAAAGGGTACCGACTCCATTAAACAAAACAGCTGCAGTATGTGGGCGGGCGCCCCAGAAAGGTCCACTTCAGATATTGCACAAGACCATGTTGGCCATTGCTATGTGACCATGGTAAAACGCACCATTGCCACGAACCGACAGTGAAAAAACAGTGCATGTTGGTTGCTCTGGCGTAGAGCGGAATTCGCAAGTGGTTTGCGGAAGAGTTGGGGGTTGGGGGGCAGGGTTGTACCGGGCTAGATTCTAAACAGAATTTCCAATATTGATGGTTTGCTCCCAGAATCATGACTGAATCTGTTTTAAACAAGTATAATAAATGTGTTTAAGGGGTCCCACCATCCGATTCATCGATACTCGTAGGCCCTTACATCAACCGACCAGACACACGGGGGCCTTTGAAGTTGCAGCCCCGAACTTAGCCGAACTCACTCTTTTTGGCAAGCCACATTGGCCTTGCTAACCGTACTGGTAGTACTGTGGTTGGCAACTCCTGCAGTTGGGATGGATGAAATCCTACGAATATAGGAATGCACCGCCTTCCAAGTGGTGCAGGATTCTGTCTCTAAGGAATACCCCCACACCTGGACCTTCGACGGAAGGTCCACGGCTTGCAAAACCCAACTTAGAGGAGTTGTTGATCTCCTTGGCACTTTTGCGTTGGTATGTCTAAGTCTATTCTAGGATTTTCTCAAAACATGGAAACCTGCCAATATGGATATTGGTCCTCAAAAAGGTTGTGTTCCTTTCCTTTTCCCCTTACAAGAACCCCAAACGAGTACCACCTCTGAAACCCATGTATATGGGGTGTCAACAGCTGTCCCAAATTTGACCGGTCGCCAACTGCCACGATCCATGATCCGCCTAGGCCCCCAGTAGTGCCCTTCTCTCCCCTTTTTTGGGGGAGGGTTCCCCCACTAAAATAGACTACAGAAAGAAAATCGGGTACCAACGTATTCTCACCTCTCTACTGGAGGATCTAGCTGCGATCAACTCGCGAGGTGCGCGTTTGGCCGTGCAGCGGGTGGGCTTTCTGCTGCTGCGGAAGGTGACTGCGCGCTTCGGGGCCCCAGAGGAGGGCTCCAACCGGGGGGGTGTTCTCGAAATTTGGGGCCCCCTAGGCCGGGCGGGGGGGGGGGGGTGTTTGTTTGTGGAGTGAGCCGTTATTTCAGGCTTTCGGAAGGGAGAACCACTTTCGTCGCCTGTGGCCGGAGAACCCCTTTGATTTTTAGACGAGTGACATATCCCAATAAAAGATATGTGGGTTGGTGTTGCTAGAGGTTTCTCTTAAAACCCATCCAACAACTGAGACAGACCCTTGTGGGGGGAGGGGTGGAAAATACCAGTCGCCTTGTGCCATGTTTCTTCAAACTAAATTTTGACAACCTCCGATGGGCTGTTATGGGCTCCGAATTTTTAGGAAGCTCGGAGGGTCTGAGACACGGGAGTTGATCAAAAGGTCCTTGTAAGGACATATACTGTGGAGGACCATCGCACTGCAAGTGTTTGTGCCCGCGAAACATCCGCGAAGGCGTCTGCGATTTATTTATTGGTTCAAATGTGTTTTTCTTCGCAAGATGTGGCGAGATCTTCTTGGGGGCGTGCTCGTACCTGACATGTTGGCGCCGCTCCCTTTTTGGACAGGGAGGTGTGCAGCACCTCTACTTGCGTCCTTGATTCCCTGCTGGTGCTGGGGCAGCACCTGTGCTTGCACCCCACCCATGCCACGATGCGGTGACTCACGTTCCTGGATCCCCACCTGACGACGCAGAGCAAAGCTTCAACGTTGGCTGGGCTATCTTGGAGCAAGTTTCGCGAAAGACCGGCGAAAGCCCATGGAGCCTGTTGCAAGGTTCTGCATGTTGTGCCCAGGAGCAGTCATGGCAAGCGCAAGTGGAAAGTGACTGCTTTCGTCTTACGATGCTGTTACTGGGTTTGCAAGCGCAACTGCAGCAGCAACCAATGACTTCAGAGCGCACGCTGCAAAGAAGAGAGCATGGCGTTTTATTTGCGCAAGGCTCGCAAACGATACTTTCTCGCGAAGAGCGGCGCTTTCCAGAATATGGGCGAGTCTATTTTTGGAGTTGGCAACACTTTTGAAAAGGTCGGCTTTCAGTGACGTCGCTACGACCGCTCCGGTGTGGTTGGAGCTCTTTCACAAAATGGCCGATGGACAGGAATCCCCACTATGTAGAACAACAACTCTGTTCTGGACGTAGTTACTCAGTTGAAACAGATGTGCGCGCACACATTACTTTTAATTCTATGCCAATCCAATGGGTACTGCGTACCAAAATTGCTAACAAGACAGCTACCATTGACGCTTAAGTGACAACCCAAGAAAGCACCGATTTCTGAACATGAAAGCCGGGCATCAGGCAAGTCTGACTGGTTACCTTCACGCATCCTGCCAATGCCCGGCAAGTGTGGCTTTACTAGGTCTTGCGGTCGCTACACCCCCCTAAAGGTCCCCGTGCGGGATTGTTCGGGATCCCAGTCAGTGTGGACCCCAGGACAGTGGACAGTCTTTACGGGGGTTGCTCATTTTTATTTTTCAGCGGTGCCTGGATAGATGGCGTCCACATCCCTTGTTGGAGACTAGATGAAAATTGCTGGGAGAGCTAAACCCACGCTCGGTCAATAGCAAGGGTGCCCTTTGCCTTTTGCTGCTTCCTTCCCTGTCAGCCTGGCCAAACAATGAACATTTGAATAAGAGCGCCCTTGGCAATGCGCACCCTTGACACTCACCGGAAGACAGAGCAGAGTGTGTATGTGGCCCCAACAGAGTTCCAAAGCAAGGAGGTTATTTCAACACAGTGGTTCAAACCTGTTTCAGCAAAGGGTTCGCCCAACCCTAGTGTCACATGTTTCTTGGAATTCAAAAGGATCAACATGGTTTAGAGTCCCTTACTGAAACACGCACACACACACACACACCACACAAACAAACAAACACGCACACAGACACCTGTTTTCCCGTCCGTCAGGACGGCACGAAGGTTTTAGCCCAGCTCAAGCGCTTCTTTGCCGCCGCGCGGGTGAACCCGCTCTGGTCCGTCCCTCTGCTGCCGGTGGCCGATGCCGCCGGGAGCCCCGGTGGGAGCACGGAAATGATCGGACAGCACGGCGGAAATCCAAGTTGGCTGTGAGTTTGACCGAGGTCATCATGATGGATATGAGGTCTGGATCGGAGGGGTCTCCAATCAGCAGGGTTTGTTGTAGGAAGAATCCGGAGACAAAATAGCGAAAGTGGTGACCCATGCCCACTTAAAAGTCGGTGTGTCAAGACAATTCTGGGGAGCTATACTTGTGTGTCCCAACATTTACGAGAGATGCTCATAGATGGTTTTGCACCACCCGGTGTTCCAACATTAGCTTCTGATAGTGACATAGGTGTTCGGGATTTTCCGACTTGCTCAGGTCTTTATTGACATTCTCGCAGGGAAACTCCATTCTGCCTACCTTGAGAAGCTCCACGAGAGCGACGCTCAGGTGTGGATTGCAGCACAGAGCGTCTTGATCCGCCTGGCCAGCTTCCCACTCAAATGTGTGGAATTGCCGGAAACTAAGAGGGTCATGTTGGTGGGAACCATGGTCAGACTTGCTTTTGCGAATCAATTCATGAGCTGAGCTGTTTTCAGGGGATAACGTGAGCTGAGGGGTGGCAAATACGCCTTGAAAACTATGTTGCAGGGCAAATCACAACAAGCTTGCGTGAGCTTACTTTGGAAAACAAGCTCACCCGTAATCAAGAAGGTTTTTTGCCTCGATTGATGACTCCTTATTTGCAGTTTGTGAATTATATAAGCCATTTGCCCAGGGCGCTTCTCTCGTCTTGTATTTTTACATCGGGCACACCGATCAAACTCAACACGGGAGTGTCAATCCTCAGGTTGACACAACGAAGTCCTATATACCCCTCGCAACTCAAATCCCCCTCGTGCCTATTTTGTAACGAGCTCACTTTGATATATAAAGCGAGCTGTCCATGATGTAGTCCTTTATTCGGGGTTTCTTTTTTCTTTTTGGTGAATTGCCAGTTTGTGTATTTGTTTCCGTTTGCACCAAGGCAGCAAAGGCATTCATTCACCTCCCCGGAGGTGCTGCCGCATGCTGTTCCTGAGTACACGCTCTACGAGGCCGCACTTCTGGGAGGCAGCGAGGTGAATGTCACCTACGCACGCTACGAGGCGATCTTTTGCAGCAGGGTCCCATTTTGTAGGCAGAAGAAAACCCTCCCATCCAGCAAATTTTGATATTTAGTTCTTCCTGGTCTTTGCACCCTGTTGTTCAAACGGTCATGGAGCCAATTCTGACCGGCATTTGTGTCTACCTTCACCCAGGTGTATTACTAAGAGAGGGTCGGCATTTCCCAAAGCATGTCAGGTGATGGGTGCTTTGCTCCGCGACACCCAGCGGACCTGGCAAGAGGTGGAATCCCTGCTCACTGGCGGCCCCTTCCAGCAGGAGATGTGCTCGCGAAGTTTGCGATCTCCCCCATGGTGAAGATTTATTTTTATGGGAAGCCCTTGTTCCCAAGCACCCGCTTGGGGAAGAGCGAAATGGACCAGGTGTTCTTGCGGGTTGGTGGGCTTGGGGGGGTGGTTCGGAGCACGTCCTGCCCCAAACCCGACCTTGTGATCTATTTTTGTTCAAGGTTTCACAAGGTTTACTGGGTTGTCCCTTTTGCTGCGGGGTCTTTTGGGGAAGTGAGAGACCCTAGGAAGAACATATCTGCCGAGAGGACGGTTTTTCACGTATGAAGGCCGGATGCCAGCATTTTTTGGTACAGCGTCCAGGCCACTTGCCCGCTTTCGCGCAGTATCGATCCCAGCCCCAACAACCCGACCAATTGCAACCAACTAACCAAAACCAACCAACCAACCAACCAAAACAACTACCCAACCACCCAACCACCCAACCAATTGCAACCAACCAACCAGCCAACCACAGGATGCCGCGGGCTTCGCCTTGGGCCGCGCGAGCCTCGCGGAAGGCTCGGGGCCCAGCCGCGCCGAGTTCGCCGCGGTGCGGGGCCTGCGCATCGACGCCAGCACTGGCCAGGCCGCCACGCACGCCCGATTTGCTGGTTGTTTTGGTGCCACCATAGGGTTCCTTTCTGGTTGTTTTGCTTAACAAATTGGTTGTTTTGGTTGTTTTTTTGGTTGTTTTGCTTAAAAAAATGAAGGCCCTGGTTTACCTGGTGGTTCAATCATCTACCAGGGCCATCAATTTTAGAAAAAGGACATGGGTGCAACCGATGTCCAAGTGCCCTGGGGCTAAGTCAAAAGCATGAGGTTGTGTGGTACTTAACCATTTTGGAGTCAGTGATATCAGCAACGTGAGGGCATGATGTGTGTAAGTAGGTGCTTGGAGATGGTACCCTTTTTGTTGGAGCATTACGAGGGACACCAGGCAAAAAAACACAAACACATCACTGTGGGGGTTCTCCTATTTGGACACAAATTTAGGTAAAGAGCCACAGCAACTCGCTCACACCCTGGGTGCTTAAGAATTTTCCTCCGTGTTGAATTTGACCCAAGGCCCTAAGGGAACCTACAAGGTGTGGATGAGTGAGATGGTTCGATTGTAGTCACCACTGTCGCAACCAGAATCTATGGTGGGTGTGTCTCAAAACAGCAGCTTTTGGTTTCAGGTTTGCTTGAAGAAGCGGAGGAGGGCTACCCTCAATTCAAGCAACCCCTACATTGAATTCTACAAACATTAGCCAAAACCCTGGTTTGGGTATTTGGCTAATTGTTTGTCGAGTTTGCTGAAGCCAGGTTTTTGCATGATTTAGTTGCTTGTTTGGATCTGTTCATATTTCGTGCATGCAAGACACGTGAAGCTTTGTGCTATCCTTGGTGGCTCCCAGCCATTCCCTTAGCTTTTTAGCATCTTTTAGCGTTTAGTGGTTGGTTTTCCATTTGCTCCACAAGTTAAACTTTTAGCAGGGGATCTGAGGACAGCCCAGTAACATGGAACGAAAGCCACCGACCGTTTCGCGCCCAATTTTTGACCGCCGGTGTCACTCGCGGCCGGGTTCCCGAGCGGATCTCCAGGCGAGCCTCATCCTGGCGCGCCCGTCGGCGCAGGCAAAGGCGCTGCTCTCGCTGCAGGACTTCCGAATCGGAACAAGAGGGAGGGATCCCATTTGCCTCCATTTTTTTTGGATACCGGACCTTTCTTGGGGTTGTAGGGAAACCAACCCATTTTTAGGTTCCTCTGTGACACAAGTCCAAACGGGACGCGTCAAACTGGGGGGGGAGCCGTTTTGCGTCCTTTGGGTTTCCCTGTAAAACCGTACAAAAAAAGTAAAAAAAAAGAAAAAGAAAACGTTCCCTTAAACACACACACACAAGCACACAAATACCTCCCCTCCTATCCCCTAACATGGAGCCTGACTGGGCCCACAAGGCATACCGACATTCAGGTGTCCAATTGATGACACCCTTTAATTTATTTGATGTGGCTGTGGGTCAAAACCAATGGTACCATTTTGGGGTAGGTGCACCACCCATTTTAGTCTATTTTAGTGGGGATTGGATGTTCACTGGGGGTGCGAGATTTTGACCCATGGCCATGTGTTTCAATGGGAGAAACGAAAAGGAGGTATCCGACTTGCGAGGGATTGCCGCCCAGGACATCGCGGCGGTGCTGAGTCTGCCGGACACCGAGCCTTTGGCGCTGATGTTGGACCCCCCCAGTCAGAAGGGCGCTGGCATGGCGCAGTACCCGCACCACCCCTTCCAGAAAGCAGACGCTCGGCATCGTTTCGTCAAGCTGTAAGGAGGGCAACAGACATACTTTAACATTTGATGTGTTGTTGTTTTGTTTTTTGTTCTTGTTTTACTGTGTTTCGGCACTTCCCAACAATGACTCATGTGTTCCTGCCTTTGTTGGCTTTGGGCACCTTCCATCCTTTGCGTTGGCTGTGGAAGGGTTTGGGGTCCCCATAGCCCAAATTGTGTGGGGTCTTCATGCGTTGGGCCCACAAAATCCGGGACCCTTTCAAGGATGCTCAATGAGAAGCTCATTGAATTACGCGCGAGATGCGACAAGAACGTACGAAACACGGATGCTACGTTGAACCAGCCTGCTTGTTTTGCCTGTCAACCCAATGTCGTTTGGACTAGATCCAGCTGTTGAGTCAATTGGTTGGGGAGGACAGGGCCCACTTTATCTACGCAATAACCTGGTAGCAGTTGCTGTCTTTGCTAGCCAAGTTTTGTATCCCTAGCTCCCACAAATGTGTTGTTAGCGGCTGCACCTACGTAAAGGGCCATTTTCACTGTTGCCGGCAAGCAGGCCATCGTTCATATTGTGTATGTCACTTAGATTTTGCAGTAAAGTATCAACTAAAACTAGTCAACCCCTCCTCCCGGAAAAAGAAGAAGAGACAAAGCAGAAATCGAATCAACCCCAAAAAAACTGGTTGCAGTTCTCCTTCTAGCTTTCGGGTCACTGGTTGCTGGGTGCAGTTGGGTGAAAATCGATGGCGCGTCGGGAGCTGAGGCGGTGAGCCCTGGCCGTGGAGCGGGTATCGAAGAGGCCTTGGTGCAAGCGGCCCTGGCGGTGCAGCACTTGGCCTCCGGCACGGAGGCCGGGGACTTATGCAACCATCGGAGCGCGGCACGACACGGCACAGCGGGGGCAGGTTCTTTGTTTGGTTGGGCTCTAAAGTTCGGTAGAAATTGGTTTGGTGTCCAGTTCCCTTCAGAGGCCAGCTTTCTACCGATCGAGTCTTCGGAACATGCATGCCCTCCTGTGTCTTACAAACCAGAGGCCTAGTCTCGGTCTAAAGGTGATGCCTTGACTTAGCATTGGATTAATGGTTTTTGCAGTGTCCAGGCTGAAGAGAGCATGAGGGGATGTGTCAACACTAGGAACCCTTTTTGAGGGTGATCCCCAGGGCCGTAAGCTTTGGGAAAGATGATAACCGGACAGCTAGTGAACTGCTATCAAATATCAAGCTGACGCTGAGGAAACGCCCCGAGTTATTTCCCAAAGAGGACTGGCAAATCAGGTCTGTGAGCGAAAAACGGGTACGTTCACCCGTGAAGAATCCTTGCATGTTTAACATGTTGGGGGATGGTGTTGGGGCGTTGGAAGGATGGGGCGCAGCTGGTGTTCTGAAAGGCTTTGCTTCTGGCTTCGAAATGGATTGCGCAACTGGGGGGTTCCACTACACCCAAAGCTACCACACTACTAAAGATGTGGTAGTGATCAACGAGTTTTGTTTGCTGTATATATGTATTTTGTTTCTTCGTTCAGCAGCTAATGTAGTGCAAAAGTGGGGTTTGTCAGGGGTTTGCCTTGGAGAGCTGGTCTCTACAAAGTCCCCAAGGATTTCATTGCTGCTCAACCAGGTTCCATCTTGCGGGCAAAGCCCAAGGTACACTCAAATCCAGCGGTTTCCCTTTTGGTACCAGCACCCACTTTGGATTCTGACGTCTACCTTGGGCTTTGCCAAACAACGATGGGCAACAGGTTTGAAAGCAGCAAATGGGTCGCCGCCCTGCCTCTCGACCAGCAACCGCAGGTATCGTTTCGCGCGCCCTTCCCCACGCGGCCATGTGACGAAGGCGTGTGCCGCGTGTTGCCGAAGGCGCTGCGCGGCTCGGCGCGAAAGTGACGTGAAGCCTCGCGAGACCCGTTGCAGCAGAAAAGCATCACTGAAATGAAACCACCGGCTTTGGGGTCCCAGGAATCAAGAAGACAGCTTTTTCTCGTTTCGCCACATTTGTTGCGATCGATTTCGGAATCAGTGGATCCGGCCCCTCACCAATGGTTCGGAGCACTGCTGCGGAAGGCCACCTGCAGGAAGGGTTTGGTGGTTTGAAGCTTTTGTGTGCTTAATTCGTTTTTGTCAGTGTGTCTCCTCCCCTCATTAGTTTAAATGCAGGGGCCCCAGATCCATATTAAGGGGGGGCCGGTTTGACATTTGAGGGATCCCCAAAATACTCCGGTGTTCGGGATAGCGCCCTGTAAAACGAAGGCGACCAAAGCCTACAACAAGGTGAACCCCCCCTGTACCCTTTACAAAGAAGCCTCCAGAGATATTCCATGTTTGCACCTTTTAGTTTTGGAGATAGCTCATTTGTTTCCCTTCGTGGGTAAATGGAAATAATACTTAGCCAGCGGGAGTCCCTTTTGACTTCCAAGCCTTGCTGATCTCTTCAGCCGCCTCAGCCATAACAGACATGTCTTCGTTTATTGGCACCTCATCCAATCCGCCATTATTGTAAGGCTGGAGTCGACCCTCCAGATCTCTCAATCCCATACTGGATAAGGCCATTGGTAGGCTGGCTGTTGTTGTGATTCCAGTGCCAGTTACCAACAATATACTAGAGCGTCGTATCTGTGAGTTATATTTCTTCTTGATTTGAATCTTAAATTGAATCGCCACTGGTTGCACGTCCCGTGGGTGTTTGTTCTTGTTTGGCACAGTTGGAAGGTCATGGCTGGCAAATGTTTGCTTTTGGACCTATGTTTTGACCATTCCTTGCAGCCTGCACTGCTGTCACTTGCGTCTTGCAGCCGAGGGGAGAAGCTGCAGCCCATTCGTCAGCTGCGGACGGAGGCTTGGGGCAGGTTTCATATCAGGTCTACTCAACTCTGAATTGAGCACCTGAAGAAACAGGTTCCTTTTGGCATCGCTTTATCATTGGCTCGTGTGTTACACAGTGACCCTTTGGGTATGATATATTTGTAGGTGTGTGCACTTTTTAAGGTGCGCAAGGTTTAGTACCTCCGAACCATACCCCGAACCATACCCCCTTCACAACGCCAGGTACCAGTACTACCGCACCGCCACCACCACCACCACTACTACTACTACTACTACTGCTACTATTACTACTACTGCTACTATATATAACTACTACTACTACTACTACTACTACTACTACTACTACTACTACTACTACTACTACTACTACTACTACTACTACTACTACTACTACTACTACTACTACTACTACTACTACTACTACTACTACTACTACTACTACTACTACTACTACTACTACTACTACTACTACTACTACTACTACTACTACTACTACTACTACTACTACTACTACTACTACTACTACTACTACTACTACTACTACTACTACTACTACTACTACTACTACTACTACTACTACTACTACTACTACTACTACTACTACTACTACTACTACTACTACTACAACAGCAACTACAACTACTGCTCAATTACTGCTATCATGACTACTACTGTTGTTACTACTACTACTACTACTACTACTACTACTACTACTACTACTACTACTACTACTACTACTACTACTACTACGACTACGGCAGAAAAACCTTGCTTCCGAACCATACCCCGAATCATACCCGAAATACGTCGAACCATACCTTTTGTTTGTGCACGTGATCCATGCGACCACGCGCGCGAAATTCGCTGACGACCCAATGTTGCAACAGACTTCAGCTCCAGCGAGCCATACCCCGAACCATACCCCCGATTCATACCTCGGATCATACCCGCGAACCATACCCCCATCCAAACTTCCCAGTTCGAGCACCTTATTTTGGCAAAGACCCATACATATATATATATATGTGTATATATATACATATATATATATATATATTTTAACGCCTCCGGCTCAGGCCGCCGACATTACAGGCCTGCTTTCTTATTTGCGTCCCTTTGGAATTGTCCCCTTGCCCCCTTCCCCTCTGAGATTTTTGCCCCCCTTTCTTTGTTGAGATCCATTCCCCCTTTCCGCCCCAAGGCCTTTTCTCCCTCTGATTTTTTCCCTTTTCCTCCCACCTTTTCCCCCCTGAGATCTTCTCCCTTTTCCTCCCTTTCCCCCACTTTCCCCCCTACGGCCTTTTCCTCCCTGGGATCTTTTTCCTTTCCTCCCTTTCCCCCCGCTGAGATCTTCTCCATATTCCTCCTTAAGATCCTTTGCCCCCTTTCCCTGTTGAGATCCTTTCCCCCCTTCCCTTTAAGGCCTTTCCAGATCTTCTCCCTTTTCCTTCCTAAGATTGTTTCCCCCTTTCCCTGTTGAGATCCTTCCCACCCTTTCCCCCCTCAGGCCTTTCCCCCCCTGAGAGCTTCTCCCTTTTCCTTCCTTAGATCTTTCCCCCCTTTCCCTGTTGGCCTTTTTTCCCCCAGATCTTCTCCCTTTCCTCCCTAAGGTCTTTTCCACCCCTTTCCCTGTTGAGATCATTTCTCCCCTTTCCCCCCCACGGCCTTTGCCCCCAGATCTTCTCCCTTTCCTCCCTAAGATCTTTCCCCTGAGATCTTCTCCCTTTTCCTCCCTAAGATCTTTTGCCACCTTTCCCTGTTGAGATCCATTCCCCGTTTCCCCCCTAAGGCCCTTTCTCCCTCTGAGTTTTTCCCTCTTCCTCCCTACGATGTTTTCCCCCCTCTCCCTGTTGAGATCCTTTCCCTCCTTTCCCCCCTAAGGCCTTTTTTCCCCCCGCGATCTTCCCCCTTTTCCTTCCTAAGATCTTTTCCCCCCTTTCCTTGTTGAGATCCTTTCCCGCCCTTTCCCCCCTAAGGCGTTTTCCCCCCCAAGATCTTCTCCCTTTTCCTCCCTAAGATCCTTTGCCCCCTTTCCCTGTTGAGGTCCTTTCCCCTCTTTCCCCCCTAAGGCCTTTCCCCCCTGAGATCTTCTCCCTTGTCCTCCCCAAGATCTTTTCCCTTGGTTGAGATCCTTTCCCCCTTTCCCCCCAAGATCTTCTCCCTTTTCCTCCCTAGGATCCTCTCCCACCTTTCCCTGTTGAGCTCCTTTCCCCCTTTTCCCCCTAAGGCCTTTTCAGATCTTCTCCCTTTTCCTCCCGAAGATCCTTTGCCCCCTTTCCCTGTTGAGATCCTTTCCCCCTTTCCCCCCTAAGGCCTTTTCCCTGCCTGGGATCTTCTCCCTTTCCTCACTGAGATCTTTCCCCCCCTTTCCCTGTTGAGATCCTTTCCCTCCTTTCCTTCCTAAGGCCTTTCCCCCCGCTGAGATCTTCTCCCTATTCCTCCTTAAGATCCTTTGCCTCCTTTCCCCGTTGGGATCCTTTCCCTTCTTCCCTTTAAGGCCTTTCCAGATCTTTTCCCTTTTCCTTCCTAATATTGTTTCCCCCCTTTGCCTGTTGAGATCCTTCCCACCCTTTCCCGCCTAAGTAAGGCCTTTCCCCCCTGAGAGCTTCCCCCTTTTCCTTCCTTAGATCTTTCCCCCCTTTCCCTGTTGGCCTTTTTTCCCCCAGATCTTCTCCCTTTCCTCCCTAAGATCTTTTCCACCCCTTCCCTGTTGAGATCATTTCTCCCCTTTCCCCTCTAAGGCCTTTGTCCCCAGATCTTCTCCCTTCCTCCCTAAGATCTTTCCCCCCCCCCTTTCCCTGCTGAGATCCTTTTCCCCCTTTCCACCCTAAGGCCTTCCCCCCCCCTGAGAGCTTCTCCCTTTTCCTTCCGGAGATCTTTTCCCCCCTTTCCCTGTTAGGCTTTCCCCCCTAAGTCCTTTTCTCCCAGATCGTCTCCCTTTCCTCCCTAAGATCTTCCCCCCCCTTTCCTCCTTAAGATCTTTCCCACCCTTTTCCTGTTGAGATCCTTTCCCCCCTTTCCCTCCCAAGGCCTTTCCCCCCCCTGAGAGCTTCTCCCTTTTCCTTCCCAAGATCTTTTCCCCCCTTTCCCTGTTGGGCTTTCCCCCCTAAGTCCTTTTCTCCCAGATCTTCTCCCTTTCCTCCCTAAGATCTTCCCCCCCCCTTTCCTTCCTAACATTGTTTCCCCCCTTTCCCTGTCGAGATCCTTCCCACCCTTTCCCCCTGAGGCCTTTCCCCCCCTGAGAGCTTCTCCTTCCTTAGGTCTTTCCCCCCTGTCCCTGTTGGCCTTTTTTCCCCCAGATCTTCTCCCTTTCCTCCCTAAGATCTTTTCCACCCCTTTCCCTGTTGAGATCATTTCTCCCCTTTCCCCCCTAAGGCCTTTGCCCCCAGATCTTCTCCCTTTCCTCCCTAAGATCTTTCCCCCCCTTTCCCTGCTCTGTTGAGATCCTTTCCCCCCTTTCCCCCCTAAGGCCTTTCCCCCCCGAGATCTTCTCCCTTTTCCTCCCTAAGATCTTTTGCCTTCCTCCCTAGGATCTTCTCCCACCTTTCCCTGTTGAGATCCTTTCCCCCTTTTCCCCCCTAAGGCCTTTCCCCCCCCCTGAGAGCTTCTCCCTTTTCCTCCTAAATCTTTTCCCCCCTTTCCCTGTTGGGCTTTCCCCCCTAAGTCCTTTTCTCCCAGATCGCCTTTCCCCTAAGATCTTCCCCCCCCTTTCCTCCCTAAGATCTTTCCCACCCTTTCCCTGTTGAGATCCTTTCCCCCCTTTCCCTCCCAAGGCCTCTCCCCCCCTGAGAGCTTCTCCCTTTTCCTTCCTAAGATCTTTTCCCCCCTTTCCCTGTTGGCCTTTTTTCCCCAGATCTTCTCCCTTTCCTCCCTAAGATCTTTTCCACCCCTTTCCCTGTTGAGATCATTTCTCCCCTTTCCCCCCTAAGGCCTTTTTGCCCCAGATCTTCTGCCTTTCCTCCCTAAGATCTTTCCCCCCCCAGTTCCCTGTTGAGATCATTTATTTCCCCCCTTTTCCTTCTAAGGCCTTTTCCCACCCTCAGTTCTTCTCCCTTTTCCTCCCAAAGATCTTTCCCCCCCTTTCCTCCCTAAGTCCTTTTCCCTGAGTTCGTCTCCCTTTGCCTCCCTAAGATCTTTTCCCCCCTTTCCCGCTTAAGATCCTTTCCCCCGTTTCCCCCCTAAGGCCTTTTCCCCCCACCCTTCTCTTCCCAAAGTCTTTTTCCCCTTTCCCGTTTGAGATCCTGTCCCCCCATTGCCCCTTAGGGCCTGTTCCCCCCGAGAAAGATTTCCCTTTTCCTCCCAAAGATCTTTTCCCCCCTTTCCCCCTTAAGGCATTTTTTCCCCAGATCTTCTCCCTTTCCTCCCTGAGATCTTTCCCCCCCTTTCGCTGTTGAGATCCTTTCCCCCTTTCCCCCCTTCATTTCCTTCACCAGCATGGGCAACATCCCCAGCATCACTTGCATCATCCGCATCCTTGGCAGGCGCTGATGCAGGTGATGCTGGCGATGTGCCGCTGGAGCTGCTAAGGATGCGAAAGCGCACCCGGGGTGCGCAAGCCCGCACAATGAACAGATTTAGCGAAGCGTCTTCGAATCACCGCGTGGTACGTGGACCCCCCCCCCCCCCCGCAATAGTCTGAAATGGTGCCCCTGGGGAGGGGTTAGGGGAGGGGTAACAGGTAAAGAGGTAAGGAGCATTTTTTGTGTCCAACACGCCGTCTGTTGTCGGCGGAAATATGTACATGTGGGCGGCTGCCCCGACTATTAACAGGCGGCCTTCTGCCATCTGTCCGGAGTCCGTTCAAATTGGGAATCTCCGAAAGCCGTTTGCGCCGTAGAACATGGTGACGGGATCGTCCCGGAGTTTGTCCGGGAGCCGTTTGCATTGTGAAACACAGTTCCGGGATGGTTTCAGGAAGTCTCTTTGCGCTGTAAAACGCAGAGCCGGGATCGTTCCAGAATATCGCCGGGAGCTGTTTGCTCCGTAAAACACAGTGCCGGGATGTCTCCGGGATCCGTTTGCGTTGTGAAACGCAGTACCGAGATGTGTCCGGGACGTCGCCGGGATCCGATTGTGCTGCAAAACACAACACAACCCCGTTTGGAACTTACAAAGTTACTTGAAGGGGGGTGGCCCGATGTGCTAGCAACCAACACAAGGCGGGCTGCCTTTCTCGTTGCCGAGCGTTGTAGCTCAGCCAAGGGTTTAAACGGGGCGCATAGCGATTTGTTGCCCAGCCCTAGTGCGTTTCGCCTAAGGCGGCAAGTCCAACTTTGTTGGCCCGCTTGTAGTCAGAAACACCAACAGCACCAGCAACCCGCCACGGAGAGCAGGGCACGCGCCAGAAATAGGCCCGCTATGTACCCCCGCAATAATATACATGTATGTGCATTGACGTGGTAGATACACAGAGAGATACGTACATAGTCATACACATGTATATATATTTATAGATAGGGCTGCGCGTCAAAACAAGTTGACCCCTCTCTGGGTCAGTACTTGGTACCATTTTGCATATTTGGCCTTGCATAAACATATTTAAGCCCCATCAACACGTGCGGAGTCATTGGAGACTGTGTTGTGTTTGATACTCAGTGCCCTTTTTGGGTGTTGCTGGATGGGGACACCAACAGGACTAAATAGCCCCAGTTCGGGGATGACTTATTTTGAGGCATGCCCATTTGATGCATTCAGTTGAGCCTCAGTAAAGAGGAATGAGAAAGAGTGAAAGATGGACAAAGCGAATGGGAATGAACCCCTTAGGCAAGCAATGTCAATCCTTGACCTTTTGGCGGCGATTATTTGCATGAGGGTTTATGTCCACCAAGCGCTTTTGAGGGGGCCCCTATCAAAAGCACACATTTTTTGTTGTGGTTTATTTATCCACTTGTTCAGGGCTCTCCTGAGCCGTCGCTCTCTACTTCCCAGCCCTTTTGCTCTTCTCGTATGGGTTTGTCTCTAAATGAGGCAACACCCCAAACAAACGGGTGATGTCCCTTTGTGTTTTGTCCAAAGCACCCTCAAAATGGGTCACCCATTTCTATATATTTTCACCAAGCAAGCTTCCCATTTCTGAACGCATGGCCCATGTCGGAATTTCTCGTGCCGCCTCATTGGCCATTGTGCTCGCTGAGACACCCTAACCAGTTCCATCCAGCACTGCTAAGGCCCCTTTTCCTCAACACCGTTTTTTCTCCAACACCGGATCTGCAGACTCAGAATGCCGACATGTAACCCATGTCAAGTATGTGGTTGCTTCATTTTGTGCAGTATCTATCTGGTTTGGCAGAGTAAACTGTATGATGAACTAGACTTGATTTCTGCCTTGCAAGCCACATAAGGCTATGCCTTTGTCTGATCAGTGATGATGAATCACATTGTATAGCTGCCACACGTAGGCAATACCATGGTTTAAGCCCAACGAGTTGTGAAACAATGTCTATATATATATATATTGAGAATAGAAGCACATATAAAACACACACACACACATTGTGCTGCGAGTGTTGAGGCCTGCAACAATCATAGAAGCAGACCGGAGGATTTTGGAAAACTACTTTCATTTTGGGGAAGATGTCCACTACAGTGATTGTTGGAAAGAGGCCATTCTGTCCGCAAATGATTATGATTTGCGGGGGAAGCAACATTTTCAAAGGTTTGAGGACCGGTTTCTGTCCGTTTCCGGCTGTTGTTTGGTTGAGGCCCACTTGGGGGTTGTCACCTCAAATGAAAGAACACCTGCTGGATGGTGTTGGGAGAAGGGGAAAGGCACCAACCAGACAAAGGGTCCAATTGGGTCGTTTTGGGTTGGAAACATGCCGTTGTGTCTATTTGGCATCGATTTGTGTGTGGGTGGGTCTCCTATGGTCAGCGAGCCCTTTTTCGGTTGGTGTTGCACAGACTTCGGACCAAATCCAGTTGGCATGGGCTTTCTTTCAGTATTGGTAAGGTTTCGTCCCCTGGCGCAACTGGCGTGGATTTTGTCCATTCTCAGCTTTGCTCCAGGCCTGGGACGTGCCTTCCAGGCCCTGCATGCCGTTTGGGTATGTGTCCCAATCGGATCTCCATTGGTGGTTTTCCTGTTGCCGTCCCTTGTAGCAACCTGAAACGGGCGCCCTCCAAAAACACGCACACCTGACTGAAGCCCGTCAGAATGCCCAATGCCAACCACTGCCCCCAAGTCCAGAGGTTCCCTTGAGCCCACATGCAAACGAGGAAAACCATTCGGTTTTTAAACTGAGGGAATAACATGGCCATTTGTCATTGCTCAAGGGGAATCCACCACCAGGTTGCAACTCGGTGCACCAATCCCAGCAAGCCCACTTGAAGCTACCTCTCTCCGTCAAAGTGTCCAAGTTTGGTCAGTTTGGGTTTGTGTTGCTTTTCAGGGTGATTTGAACGAGAGACCAAAAGGAAAACCATAATTGGTTGGGTCCTCGTACCTTTGGAAGGGAATCCCAACCTGAATCCATGTCCTTTACGGGGCTGGCATATTTTGACGGCACATTTACATGTTGATGGATTTGTTTGGGTTGCACAACTTGAGCCGAAGCAGCTGGGGAAATGGGCAACTGCCTCAACTCCGATCAGTATAGGAGGCTGTTTTTGCTTTGGTGAGGTGGTTTTTGCATTCCTTGGAAGGTAGTCTTTTCTGTACGGGTGTCCCTTGAAGAAAGAAATCCGTCTCTTTGCCTGCAGATTGTCCAAGGACAGATGTTACGGATACAGGAAAAGAGAGCCCTTGTGAACAAGGCTCCTGGACTTTGCTTCCTGGGTGGGTTTAAACACTTATTAAGGCCCATTATCAGTCATTTTCCGGCGAGGTTGATGTTTAAGACGTGGTTCACTCACACCTCAGCTTCCTGGAGTGTATATGTTGTTTTGGAAGACCATTTAAATGGCAAGACAAGTTTGGAGTGTTTTGGGCAATCCACTCAGGAGTTTAGTGAGTTTTCAGGTACTGTTCAGGGAAGCCTCTCGCAAGAGCCAAACCAGGGAATTCAGAAGACTGGGGAGAGCGTATCTGCGGGGGCGCTGCAACTATGGGTTCCTGAGATCTCGCTGCGGGACAGAGCCTCTCGCCGAAGGCTGGTGCTGGAATGTCCCAGGATTCCGCCAGGAGCCTAGCAGAGTCGCCTGCTCGGTGTTGATGTCTGAACAGAAGGGTGGCTTCTCGTGTTGCTTCCAGAGCAACTCGATCTGTTGGCCTGCTGGCTTGAACTGCTGCCCTGAAGATTTACGTGGAACCCAACAAACAAACTATCATGTGTAGAGGAGTCGTTTGTTAGCAGTCCTTTTCGGCTCAATGTTGGTCTGCAGGGGAGCAGTGGAGGCAAAAATCTACTTCCCCCGCCCAAGAGATGCTGCCAACGTTGGAATTCATGCTGATGATGTTCGGCTGGCTTCCAAAATAGGAGCTCCAAACAAATATGTCCTGCTGCGTTTTTGTTTGGTTTCAAATTGGTTCCAGCTAACACCCATTTCTAGCTAGACCTTTTTGGACCGAGCCAGCTGCGAGGGGGGGAGGGGGGCTGGGCCCACGCTGGATCTAGCGCACAGTGGTCTCAATTAGGTCACCTCTGGGAAAGCAACACATCTGACAGGCACAACGCATGTCGAAGCAACATCCGATGGTTTTCATGTAGGTATCATGAGCGCAAAAGCCGGAAGTCAGAATTGGCATGTCCAAAAGTGAGGAAGTGAAAATTCCATGTCACAACTAGTTTCCGTCGCTATTCCCTTCCTGCGAAGCCAATCATCCATGATTGGCTTTAAGACCTTGCTTTGTGCTTTCCCTGAAGGAAGCATGAGGGGCTGGGTGTTTTTTTGCAGACCCCTTGGGCACTCCAGGTGTTCTGAGCATGGCGCTTGGGAACTCCTTCGGAGCCACCATTTGCAGGGGACCCACACCCAACTTGGCTCTGCCTTTCGCGGGTTTCTCGCTCTTCGACCCGGCTGCGTCTGCTCGAGGTATTGGCAAGCTCCGGCCGGGAACATCATGGAGATACGGCGCTTGGACGGCACAGAGCGATGTATTTGGGGCCAAGTCGAGAAATCTGAGATAGCCCCGACTTTGGCATCAAATGTGGCAGCTGCACTGCCTCCATTGGATTGAATAAAGCTGATTGAGCAAGGAATTTGATTGAAGTGGATGAATCCCTTGCGGAGAACGGCACCCTTGATCAATGTAGTTTGGGGGGTCCCTTCATCTGAAAGGTCGCATCCCCCGATTTTGTGGATGCATTGGAGTGGATGGAACGGGGACGGGATATGGCGGCGCAGACTCGGGACTATGACTACGATATGATATGGATTGTCATTATGAATGACATGGCATGATCTAGGCGTTTCCCCAAAGAGTGACACCAAAACTGGTGGTTTCCCTGAGATTGTTTTTGTTGAGCGCCCAGCTCAAAGGCTGCTCAGCATTTATCAACATTCCACGAGCTGGAGTCACAGAGAGTGTTTTTTCTTTCACACATTTGTACACGTCGTGTATACATGCGTGTAATATTATATGCTAATATACAAATACGTATTGGACTTGTTTTGTGTGTGTGTGTGTGCGGGGGTCCAAGGGGCATAGCCAATCCCGTTTAACCGGGTGCTTGCCAGGCGGGGTATCTCTGATGGACGCAGCCGTCAATCGGCCATATGGACCATGCAAAGAAAAACACCGGTTTGCCAGCAAACTGCGCCCTTTTGCAATTTTGATTGATGCCAGAGTGTGCAAACAGCCGGCAGGCAAAAATAATCGCGGTTGGGTCAAAAAACACAGTTTTTGACAAAACAGTGATAGTTCTGCAAATGTTGGAAGACCCAGGTATATATATGAGCCACGGACAAAACACACGAAGACCACTTTATCAAGGCGGGGAACGCTTTTGCAAAGCACATGCCAAAACCATGGAAAACGATAAGGTCTCCCCCAAAAACGATAACCCTTAGCTAACACACGGATCTATAATAACCCCTGCAGTTGCAACTTAGCTAGGGTGGGACCCTTGCGTGGCCACCGTAAAACAAGAAGGCGAGTCGCCACTTTCGAGCTGGAGCTGCCAAGGTGTGCTTCGTAAATACGACACTTGTACTGAGAAGTTGCGATTTTCGAGCTGGAGCTGCGGAAGTGTACTTCGCGTACTAGACTTGCACTACAAAGTTGCGATTTTCGAGCTGGAGATGCGGAAGTGTACTTCTCGTACTAGACTTGTACTACAAAGTTGTGATTTTCGAGCTGGAGATGCGGAAGTGTACTTTGCTTACTAGACTGGTACTACAAAGTTGCGATTTTCGAGCTGGAGATGCGGAAGTGTACTTCGCGTACTAGACTTGCACTGCAAAGTTGCGATTTTCGAGCTGGAGATGCGGAAGTGTACTTCTCGTACTAGACTTGCAGTACAAAGTTGCGATTTTCGAGCTGGAGATGCGGAAGTGTACTTCGCTTACTAGACTGGTACTACAAACTGGAGATGCGGAAGTGTACTTCTCGTACTAGACTGGTGCTACAAAGTTGCGACTTTCGAGCTGGAGCTGCGGAAGTGTACTTCGCGTACTAGACTTGTACTACAAAGTTTCGATTTTCGAGCTGGAGCAGCGGAAGTGTACTTCGCGTACTAGACTTGTACTACAAAGTTGCGATTTTCGATGGAGATGCGGAAGTGTACTTCTTGTATTAGACTTGTACTACAAAGTTGCGACTTTCGAGCTGGAGATGCCTTGTACTACAAAGTTGCGATTTTCGAGCTGGAGATGCGAAAGTGTACTTCGCGTGTACTACAACCCTAAGTCTCGGGTATTGGTTTTTACCAATATCGCTCGGTTTTCAAAAAGGAAACCAATCCTCGCTCAGTAATTTACAAATATTGGTTTTTCCCATCTTGCTCGCTCGGAAAAAAATGATATTAAGATTTCCAAGAAAATATTGATATTTAAATATTGATATTTTTACATGTTTTCATGTGATGAAGAAGTTGCATTGTGTTTGTTCTTGGGGTTCCTATACTTGGGACTGCAAAGTCCAAGGAAGGACTGCAAAGTCCAAGGAAGGACTGCAAAGTCCAACGAAGGACTGCAAAGTCCAACGGGGTCAGGGGTGGACTGAAAAGTCCACGCAGGATTGCAAAAAAGGCTAGAGCAAGACAAGCTTGAGCTTAAGGATAGGATTGCAGATTGTCAAATGCAATGGCAGCACACACAGGCACCAAACATGGAGCAAGACAGGCAGAATTTGTTGATTGACACGCTATTGTGCGATGTTCCTTCCAACAGGTTTTGCAGATGCTGCACAATTGAAATTGAGGACTCATCAGGTTGTGTGCTTGCGGTTTGTTTGCTGCAGCATATATTTTGGCAGTGCTGCCAACTGTTTTGTTTCATCCTTCTGGTGAGTGAGCCATGGCCAGCAGATCCCTCAAGCTTGCCAGGGATGCTTCAAGGAAGGCAACCATCAAGGGTGCTGTGAAGAAGTATGACTCAGGAGACCTTGAAGACAAACTGGGGGCCTACATCAGGCACACAGGGGTGGAGCACTGTTTCGACTTTGGCCCCTACAAGTCTATGCCTGCAACTTTTGCAGTGAGGGGGAGGGCTGTGGTGGCTCTGGAACCTTTGGTGCGGACCATTTTGGAAGTGACACCTGCCTTACAGTACTTGATACAAGTTTATTGCATTTTATGGTTCTAGCATCTAGTTGCTGTGAAAATGGGTTTGCTTGCAGCACACAACCCAGGAACCCACAAGGAAGGCTGCTACAGGTGGAAACTGAGAAGACCTTGGCTAACTTGGCCATCAAGTATGAGTTGTGCCAAAAGCAGCAGCTGAAGAACTACTCCCATGAGCTGTATGAAAGGATGGTGGTGATCCTTAGCCATGTGAGGCGCCTGAAGAACCCTGTCAAGTGGCAACAGTGCAAGAGGGGCTTGACAGACAAAGAAATTTCTGTGCTGGAAAGCCTGGTCAGCAAACTGGTGGATGATGAACCTGGGCCTGCAAGGGCCTCCTTGCCTTCAACCCTCCAAAAGGACAAATCACACACAGACACACCAGCCTGATGACCCAGCTAACTGCAATGACAGCAGCCAGGAAGAGATGGAATGGAACACACCCAAGAAATGCTCCAGCCAAGGCAGCATTGACAAAGTGCCTACCAGCAAGGATGCCATCAAAAAAATGTGGGAAACAACAGCAGCCATCCCTGGTATCCTAAAGAAACCAGCAGCAAACAAGAAGGACACACAAGGCAGTGACATTGGCATGAAATTGGTTTTTGCCAAGCAGCAGTCCTACATACAGACCAAAGACCCAGTTGATGGGAAGTGGAAGCTTCTGGTGGCAGTGAGTGAAAAGCAGAGCCCTGATCACAAAACCATCATTGAGTTGATCAGACAGGAGAAGCCCAAGAACAAGAAATTGGCAGTGAAGCTCAGGAACTTTTTGCTCTCAGATTGATGTGTTGTCTCACTTTGGTGTGGTCATATGCAAGAGGCTGCAGTGGAAAATCGCAACTGCAAACACTGCAAACCCTGGCACAAGGCAAACAATAAGAACCAGGCATGATTATAGCAGCTACTGTTGGTTACACTGGTTTTGTGCTCTTACAAGCCCTTGCTTGCAGGTTTCAATTGCAGGCATGCAAGCATGCTTGCAATGTTCAGCCTGTCTTTGGGTTCACATGTTGGCCATGTGTTTGAGTTGGCAGTCACCTGTTTGACTTTGCAGTCATGTCTGGTCCTGCCTGACTTTCAGTCATGTGGTTGACTTTGCAGTCATGTGTTTGACTTTGCAGTCATGTGCCTGGCTTTGCAGTCATGTGCCTGGCTTCGCAGTCATGTGCCTGGCTTTGCACCCATGACAGGGCACCCTTGTGCTACTAATTAAATGGCTTTGCGACTGCATGTGTTTGGCTCTGCTGCCATACTTGTGGAGAGGCTCCTTGGCAACCCTGACTTTGCAGTCATGCCTTGGTTTTGCAAGGTTTGTAGGGTTGAAGCAGTTTAGCCCGTACATGATTGATTGCTGTGGTTTCCCCTTGTGAGCTTGTGAAACCTTGCCCTATTGGATTGCCCATGCAAGCCATGCAATGTCATGGCTTGCTGCAGGCACTGAATGCAGCTTGCTGTTGGTGATCTGAGGGTTGATGAAGGTTGGCAGTTCAGCTTGGCTGTGGGAAACTATATTGGTTGGTGCCAGCTGGTTGTGGCCCAGGCTAGTTAGATTTGGTGTGCCTAGAAATCTGCCAGAGCCATGTCCAAGGGAGGCAGCTGGAGGATGGGCCCTTACCAGTCGGGGTCCTGGGGTGTATGGAGGAAACTATGGTGGCAAAGGGGCCAGGAGTTCAAGGGTGCAGCTGAGAGTGATGTGGGCAGAGAGTGGAAGAGCCTCAGTTGCAGCTATAGCAGTTTTACAAACCTGGTTGTTAGTTTTGCATTTTTATTTGGTGAAGCCTGCAATGCCTTGCCCAGGTAACCTGCCTTTTCATGATTGGCTGATTCAAGCTGGCAGTGCAGCAGCTGTTTTTCAGCAAGATGATGAGATGTCCTCCATCAGGAATGTGGTCATTGACGTGATGAGCGACTACCAGAGGCAGCAGCAACAGCAGCAACAGCAGCAAGCACAGCCAGCAAACATGCCACAGGCAATGCCAATGCAGCCCCCCGCACCACCAAGCCTTGGGCAGCATGTGCTGCCACCACCCCAGCCAGCACCCGGCCCCTCCAATATGCTGCCCCTTCAGCCCAAGCAGCCAGCCATGCCACCACCCCAGCCAGCCATGCCACCACCCATGCCCCATGCAATGCTGCACGAGCAGAAGCAGCAACACCAATTGGAGCTGCATCAATTGCAGCTGGAGCATGACAGTGCCCTTGAGGAGCTGAAGGCTGAGCTTGCCAGCAAAGACACTTAACTGTAAATTTGTAAAATGTTATTAACATATGCCAGCACCAAGCTCTTTACCATGTGCTGCTGGTGTTGCCATGTCTTGTTGGTGAAATTGAGCACATCAGGAAGCC